CTTTGGCGTGTCTCTTAATATAATGCAAATAGTCCAAGAAACCAACCAAGTGCAAACCATATGGAATGAAACTTCTGTTTGCACGTTTCTCAATTCTCAATCCCAATTTATTTCGGGATGCTCTTGTGTCAAACTTCCAAACATCTGCAGAGAGCCACTCCTCTGAGTCAACAGCACAAAACCTGAAGCTTGAAACTGAAACTCTTTTTTGTTGACCATTTGGAGGTTGCTCAAACAAACTGACTGACTGAGTCGAGCTAATGGGTGGATGTTTTTATAGAGGGTAGACAGGATGATGTTGTTTGTGTATATTATACAGTATTATGTGGAATGTTTTACCGTTTAGACTCTGTGATGGACAATGCTTCTGACCCCGGCCGGACTATCAGCCCACGCGCTGTCCATCAGCCAGCAAAGCAAACTCCCAAACCGCTGCAAAGATATGGGAATTCTGTGGGCAAAGAACTGACAGTTTAGCTCCAACACCTATTTAGAGAGACAGACGCTGCTGGAACTAAACGTAGTTTACAGAAACAACACTTGTCTTGTTTCTCGGCAAGTCATTATGGTGCAGTGCTAACCGTGTGCTCCAGAAGGTGACATAGTGTGTAAATAGTGTTTCTCGGGCTGTCACTTTGCATTTCAAGCACAGAAAGTGACGTTCGCCCCGTGCGTTCTCAGTGCAGTATACGTGCGTCAATGTAATTATGAGCTAACAAGTCAAATATAAATCCACCTCTGCTCTAATGTAGTTTACTCTGCATTATGAGACCTGGGCGTTTTCATCCTTGTGTCTTTCCCAAAGAGTTCTTCACGCACTGAAAGTCTTTTGGGGCATTTGTTGTGAAACGGCCGACGCTGCTTGACACAGACAGTGAGACCTGAAATTGTCGCAGGCTTGATGTAGCAGATTAGTCATTATCCCTAAATACAGGACTCCCCTCACCTATACACCTAAGACCTGAAAATCCATTAAGGTGGCTTGATTTCACTTTGATCCCACAGTAAGCAGGAACCTAACGCAGGGTGTAATCTGTTTGGCTGGGAGATTTTGTTTTATTGTTTCATTTGAAGGGATTTGGAAAATAAAGAAAAGGAAAAAGTGCCCTGTTTTAATATCATGCATAACATCTCCACAATATCTATATATGTTGTTCTCGCCTTTTGACATTTTGCAGTACATTGTCTACAACTGCTTTTTTGCAGCTGACCCGTCTGGCTGAATAGTTCAAGTTGAATTACTTTTTGGCTGCTACGACCTCCTCAACTAAAGAAAGACTGAGAACATTGCTTCAGACCAGCAGCTGAGTCAGGCCGTTGCAGAAATAGACTTTTGGCAAACGAACTTTGGAAACAATCAAATCCCACAGTCGAGATAAAGCAGCACTTGGTTGACGGGCAATGAGCTTTCGTTTTTCTTGATTTCCACCTCATCAACGTAATTACACAGTGAATTTGTTCCCAAAATAAAACACCGTGAAGTTTCACAAGTTGTTCCTGGCTGCTTGTTGAACCTCAGGAAGATGTGCATGGCAACGCACCGCATCACACTCACGCAGGTACACGCATTTGTACAGCAGTTGTTGAAGGACATACAACCATTTCTTTGTCATCCCTCCCCCTTATTTTCCCGGCATCAAGGGGTTTCAAACTGGTCGTCAGCACTCTTAAAGGTTGCCACCACCCCCATTTTTCAGTTACTTTTACATTTCCGCTCCTTTTGTGTCCATGTTTGTCTTTCACGACCCTGTAATTTCTCCACCAATCATTCAAAAGGGCCCCCGGCAAGTCTGCCATTCATAAAGTTAAAACTAGCTCTTAGTGGTCCGTGAAGTTTATTGGAACATTAAATTTGTATTCCAGCCGTGATGGTGTATCTTTAGCCTTGCTTGACTCACGTGTGCGGCCCTTACATCAACCGCCAATTATGTTTTCCTCTTGGGTGTGGGTTGAGCCTCGGTCAGCATGAAACCAGAAACATCGATTCCCGGCCAGTAGAGCGAACAAAAACAGTCAAAATTAAAAATCCTTTCTTTTAAAGACTGTTATCATTGAAGTTAACAAGCACAAACATCAGTAACGTTGGCCGTAACGCTGTCCGGCAGAACTCCCCCCGGGAGTTGCGTGAAATAGGGTTTATTTAAGATGCCAACGAAGGCCTGCAGAACAAGATGGACGTCAGAATGCCAAATGATGTTCTCTGCAGAAGAAGCAGAAGAATACGTTTTGCCCTGTCACAAATTCTGATGCTTGTTTTTATCGTTCAATCTATTTATGTACAGTTTTAGTTTACCAAAGCACAACTTTCAAATCACAACAAACATCAAATGGATTTTATGTGCTTGCATGTGTTCTCAGTGTTATGTTCAAAATTAAAAACATTTTTAAAAAATACATTCTTCCAAATGCAGTAAAAGGGTTTTATGTTGTATAAGTGCCACGAAGCTGAAAGCGTATTTTACAGTGAGGGTCCCGCCACAATATAGGAGCAAAGCAACGTCATGGCCTTTAGCTTGAAGACTGTAAATCTAATTTCTAATGGTTATTACAATGAATTCTGGTGACCACATCAAGCTGCTGCGGTGCTGTAATGAGATGAGCAGAGAGGCCTCTACTGTGCTCTTTCACAGCCTTTAATTTCACCACCAGCACAAGGACACAGAGTTCATAAAATGAATGCAGTGGCGTGTTTAGAAAATAAAACGAGCCTGTACGGATATAAACAACATCCAAATTACACTGTTAATTCAAGTCTTCAAGCCAAAGTATACTCTGGCTCCAAAGCTCAGCATGAATGTTTCTTCCTCTTTGCAGGTTCAGATGAGGATACATGTTGTTGTTTTTGTCTTTTTTATGCATAAAGAGATTAATCATTATCCTCTCGACTGACTAAAAACAGCTTTTCTGCAGTGGTATAGAAATGTTTGGAAAACATAAATAAACTGGAAAAATCTCAACCTATAAACATAAAATCTTAACTCCACCCACTCTTCCTCTGTCAGCTCATCTAAACCTTGCAACAGCTGGCATAGCTGGAAACAAGCATTAAGAGATTTTGGAATGACATTACATATTATAACCAGAAAGTAAACATGCTGGGTTGGTAAAGCAAGACCAAACATGTGCAGACCAGATGAAAATAGGATATGTGCACATGTAAAGTGACGTTTGTCGCTCATCAATCAGCCTCAGGTAGTCGGTCTGCATCTTTGCTGTCAGCTGTCCTTCGTGTCTTAGTTCTGAAAAGAATTTCAAACATTTGGAAATGAAACATTTGCAAATTACATTTTTTTTATTTGACAGGAAAGCAAACTCAAACAATGCTTGCCAGACATGATTAAGCGCAACAAGCCAGCAAAGGTAGCACTTTGGAAAATTGATGATAATTGGGTCTAATTTACAGAAAAAACGTTCAAACAAGCTCCATGTGTAAGAATATTTAATTACACACGTGTTGAGATTCGTCTATCGCTGTCACGTGTTGTATAGGCGCCTCAAATAGAAACATGGTGAAGGCCTCAATCAGTCATCATCATTCTGCAAACACACACATGTTGTCAGAAATATGTGCATTTATACATTCTAAGAACACAGACCATGTACCATAAATGGCTCAATGGGGTGGGACAGAGTACCCTACACATGTACTTGTGTGTCTGAGAACATGTGATTATTTGGGTGTATACAGTTCCTATGTGGCCAACCTTAAATTGAGAAATTACAGTTGGAGGATCTTAAAGTAAGCAAGGCAAGCTGGAGGGTGTGGGAGGATATTATTGGAGGATGGCGCTGATGGAGGAAATACAACATCAGTAATTGTAGGAATAGTCCTGAAACCTCTGATGATGTATTTGCAGTGAGGGGACTTAAAAATAACAAGAGACCACAGGGCCAAGGCCCCTTCCCTACAGCAGCAGTTTACGCATGGGGAGCTGCTGTAGAAGAGTAAAACCTGTCCTCTGGTGGCCAAACATTTGTACTGTCGCACACTGGGTAGCATTCACAAGACTGCAGAAACAAATCTCTTTTCCAGTGGCTCCTAATATACTTTTATTAGCTGTTTTGAGTGGGACTCACAAAAATACACAAGTTAAGGATAAATGTTCATCCTGAAATAGAGGCCAAAATCAAGGCCTCCCTGTCTTCTATTAGCCAAGCCATAATTTCATGTTCAAGTTCATGACAATCTAAGGTTAACAAAATCTCTATTAACTTTCACCCGTTCAACCTTTCCCCACCACTTGTTTAAACACTTAACAACTTTTCGACTGTTTGTTGCCCTGGCTCCTAAATGGTAGAATAAGCTCCCCAATGACATCAGGACAGCAGAAAGCCTGTACAGCTTCCAACACAAACTAAAAACACACCTCTACTGATTATCCTCAACTAGGTAGCACTTGCGATGGCACTTATATATAGTACTTAGTACGTAAGGAATTGCACTTTCTTGATTATTGTTGTTCTGGGTCTGTACCCTCTTGGTTGAATGCACTTATGGTAAGATGTAAATGTTTACCTGGCGCTGAGGTGCCCAGACACTCAGAAAAGCTAAATTCGAGTTTCCGCCAGCCGGCTGCACAAGATGTAAATTTGCAGATGGGGCGGCTACTGTGTGCTTTGACTATTTTTGATGTTGTAATGGGTAAACACCGGGTTTTATAAGCATTCAATGTTAAAAACATCCTACAAGCATACTAAAAGTAAAAGGTTTGCTAGACAAATGTGAAATGTATTGAGATGAAAAAAAGAGGGAAAATTACATTAAGTTAATCTCTTCTTTATAGCATCTTTGTTTAGGTATTTGGTTATTTTTGCATCGTACACGATTATTTCATAGTTCAGAAGACTGAAATAAGTGATAATCATGTGTCTGGATATTCAAGACATGGCGGCACCCTGATGTGACATGCCCGCTTTGGGCAGATCTGTCTTCTAATTACAGCCTCCCTCTAGGAGGGAGGTACTTGCATGGTGGGGGCTTTTTTATGATGCAAAGGGTAGATATAGTATAAATACCCTCATCATTGTACTGGAAGGCAGCATATCCTCAGTTGTGCTCCTACCCTAAGGATATACAGCAGTACCAGAAGCTCACTGGTGCTGAGGAGATTGTTTTTCCCCCTTGGAATTCTGGTATGTGTATTTTCTCTTACTCTGTAAAAATCTCTATCTGGAGGGTGTTAGTCTAGTTAAATCTAGGCTTCGTCTAAGCCATGGGTCCTTGGCAGGGAATGGAAAGGAGGCAGATTTGGGCTCGCTAGGGGCATCCCGTCCAGAAGGATGCTCTAGATTAAATAAAATAATTAAATGCACACCCTATCACTCTAACCTATCCTATTTGTTGCCGAGTGAGTTTTTGCAAACATGTCTAGTTTGTGCAATTAGCTGTGAACGATTTTAAGCTGTGTAACATAACTTGCAACTACAGAAAAAGCTTGTTGAAACTTTTTTACCGCATTAATTGTTGTGCTCACCGTCTCCTTCCTTTCTTTGAAGATTTGACCGTGCAAGATGGATGTACGAGTAGCAAGCATCTTCGCCATCATGGTGGCCTTTACAGCCGCCCATGGGGACCGGTACGTTGTGAAGAAGCTGGTGAAGGCCCCCCCTCAGTACCAGCCCTACTCTGTGAAGAGCCATGGTAAGTAAACACAGCTTCCTGCTCTCTGTGCAATGTGTTTTTCACATGGTTTTTACAACACAACATGATAGCATTTCCCTCTTTTTGTATAGTTTTTCCTCACAAAAGTTGCCTCTTAACTACGATTTTCTTCTCAAAAGACAATTTGCGACAGTTTAGCCTTTCCTTTGAATCTCGGTTGTGGCAAATACGAGCAGCATAAGCAACCAGACAGATGTTGGCCACAGCCAGCTGCACTTTAGTTTGATATCTGAACCAAAGCTTGTGCTGGAACAAACTTGTTTTCTAATTGGCTGCCACAATATGTATGCTACACCAATCCCAAAGTTTGTGTAAATGTAATATTCTGATATCACGGTTTATTCCTTCATTGTAGAGTTTTGCAATTTTCTTTTACTAGCAGTCATAGGATTTGATACATGATCCTAGAAGTGAGGGGATTATTTTATTCAACAGAGGCACAGCAACCACATTTTCTAAAGTAAAGGATTTTTGTACTTTTCCATTTTGTGATCAAGATCGTCAATGCAATATGCACAATCTAAATACTTTTTGGAGAGTGCCCTTGCCCTGTTGAATTTCTGGTTCTAAATATTCACTGTATGAGCATACATTTGGACACTCACGTAGTCTGGAGTAGACTTTAGTTATTACATATATACATGGAGTGTGTTAGATTTGAAATATATCTTTCAAATTTTGTTATTCTGGCCACTAAATGATGTCTGTTATTTTACTTCCAGACATGCTGTTTAATGCACATTTCAGTTCATGTTAAACACAAGTTTCCTTCAGTTCAAATATGGTAAATATGGCATGGTCTTGAGTGTTGGAGTGGTGGCTAAATGCAATATAAAATATGAAGCTTTACTTTTGTGTTAAACAGCATACAATTGTTATTTGAGAAAGTAGCTGTTAGTGAATTATTTTTAGTCTGACACTGTCAATTACAGTCCAGTCACCCAGAAGTGTGGTTTGTTTGGGTGTGCCTGCTTCACACAGAAGACGTAGAAGTAGAAACATCTGTTTGGCTATATCTGAACTCGGCTACAGTTTGCTAACAACTGAGCTTTAAACACTTGTGACCACATCAAGGCAGCAAATACAGTAAAGGCTGTTTGACAGACAGGTCACTACCTCTTGAAGCTCTTTGACCAGCACAGTATGAGAACTAGATCGAACATATTATTTAAAACAGAACATAAAAACATTTAAAAGAAAGCCAAGACCAGTTTCTAAATTTAGTTTTGATGAATGAGGGCAACATTCATAAGAGCATTTCTATTTTTCATCTCATATTTGATGTTGACTGAACATGAAGGTTTGCCAATCCACAAGATACTATGAAAGCTCACATACACTCAAACCTCAGAGCTCGCTAGTACATCCATGCTCATATACTTTTTGTCCCTGGAATGGGATGAAATGTACCAGAAATACCAGATTTGTATTCTAGAATATGATTGTATGAAAATGATACACATATTGTAGGTAGGCCTATAAATTAATTAATAATATCCTAAAAAAATAAATCAATATAATCAATTCAACTACTAGTTACATTTTGGTTCTTGTATTTAGTGATACTGATGGACTTCCCTGTTCTCTTGTTCTCAGTGGTGTCAGTGGCAGGTGAGCCTGGTGCTCCAGGTGAGCCTGGCCCTGAGGGGCCTCCTGGCCCTCCTGGCCCCGCAGGTGAGAGCGCTGAAGGTCTGCCTGGACCGCAAGGACCTCCTGGAGCTCCTGGAGCTCCTGGACGCTCCGTCGCTGGCAAACCTGGTTCCCCAGGTGGACCTGGCAAACCTGGCAGCCATGGAGCACCTGGAGAGAAGGGAGACACTGGAGCCCCTGGCTCTCAGGGACCAAGGGGAGCCCCTGGATCTGCTGGAAGCCCTGGACCTGCAGGCCTCTCTGCTACTGGCAAGCCTGGACCTTCAGGTCTTCCTGGCCCAAGGGGATCTAGAGGAGAGCCTGGTCTGAAAGGACATCCAGGTGTACCTGGACTGACAGGTGCTAAGGGTGATAGAGGGGTGGGAATTCAAGGACCTCAGGGTGAGACAGGGCCAGAAGGAGCCGTGGGTGCACCTGGACAGCCAGGTGAGCCTGGAGTTGGAAAGCCAGGACAAGCAGGTATGCCCGGGGAGCCAGGCAAGTCAGGAACCCCAGGTAGGGATGGTGCTACAGGTCCCATGGGACCACAGGGACCTAAGGGACACACAGGTGCCCCAGGTGTAGGTATGCCTGGTAAACCAGGTGAGAATGGTGCCCCAGGTCTGCCTGGTGGAGCTGGCCCTAAAGGCCACCAAGGACCTACTGGAGCCACTGGTGCCCCTGGGGCCTCAGTAGTTGGAAAGCCAGGTGCAAATGGGGAAAAGGGAGAGAGGGGAAATACAGGTGCCACAGGTGCCACAGGTGCAAAGGGTGAGCAAGGTCCAACAGGATATACTGGCGCTACTGGTGCAACAGGCCCCACTGGTCCTGCTGGACCTCAGGGGGCAACAGGTTTCCCAGGTGAAACTGGCGCTACTGGTTCTAAAGGTGACACAGGTGCTACTGGAGCTCAGGGACCTAAGGGAAACAAGGGAGATCAGGGAGCACAGGGATTTTCAGGCAAGCAGGGTTATCCAGGTGCAGCTGGTCCTCCTGGACCCAGAGGTGCCACTGGATCAACAGGGGACAAAGGTCATGTTGGTGCCCCTGGTACACCAGGTTCCCCAGGTATTCCAGGCCCTGCCGGACCAAAGGGTCATCCCGGCCGCGCAGGTGAGCCAGGTGCCTCTGGTTCTAATGGTGCTCCAGGTTCCAGGGGGCCTTCAGGGCCTCAAGGTCCTGCTGGTACCCCAGGCCTAAAAGGACACCCAGGTCTCCCTGGTCCCTCTGGCCCTGCTGGTGTGTCTGCTAAGGGTCTTCCTGGACCTCAGGGTCCTCCTGGTCAGCCCGGTGACAATGGTGTTGATGGAGCCATGGGCCCAGCTGGCCCTCCCGGTCCCCCTGGTCCTCCTGGTGAGGTTGCGTTTGAGAAGGGCATGGGAATGGGTGAGGTTATGGTCAAGTCCCCCATGTCTGCTTTCACGGCATCTCTCATCACCCCCTTCCCCGCTGATGGCACCCCTATTAAGTTTGACCAGATTGTGTACAATGCTGAGAACCACTATGACCCTGAGACTGGCATCTTCACTTGCCAAGTTCCCGGAGTTTACTATTTCTCCTACAGCTTCCATGTTAATGGAGCAAATGCCTTGGTGGCTTTGTACAAGAATGGCCAGCCTGTTATGTTCACTTATGATGAGTACAGCAAGGGCTTCGTGGACCAGATGTCCGGTAGCACTGTCCTCTTGCTTGATGAGCAGGACACAGTCTATGTACAGATCCCCGATGAAGATGCCGTTGGTGTCTTTGCCGCTGAGAACGTCCATTGCTCTTTCTCTGGGTTCCTCATTGCTTCAACGTGATACGTTGATACAGCAGTTCCCAAAAGCCAACCAACCAAATTTGCAATCTATTTCTCAAATTTAAGTAAACTCCCTGGTCCCTTTTCCTCAAACCGACAGGCAGTTCACCCTTCTTTGAGGAATAGAATCATCTCGACTTGAAAACTACAAGACATAGGTGCTTAGAAGAAGGAAAACTAATTTATGAACAGGTATCAGGGATGGGGGAAGCAATCCACAAGTATCCGTTAGCTTTATTAACAGAAACAGCATGTGAAATTGAGGTGTTAGAACTGTGTTGTGTCCTGACTTTTTCTTCTTCCACTCTGTTCCTTTAATATTGACTTCAACTGGTGATTCTTAATTCAGTGTTTGTCTGTTTTTCTTTTTCTGTTGTTTTTGTAACTGTTATTTTGGTTGGGTGACCAATACTCTTATTCAAAGTACACAAATACTTTTGGTCCACCATGTTGTAAGTGTCATCCTTGTAGGTGACTTGAATATTGTGAAATGGTAATGGTCAAATTGACCATTATGATTAAATCAGTCACCAGAAAATTGCCATACCATCAACAACGATGTATCCCTGAACATGCATTATGTCCTGTAAAGCATAATGACCAAAATAAAAGATGTCTAAAAAAAGTTTTGTTTCAGAAGTACTTTTTGAACTTGACTTTGACTTTTTAGACTTTCTATGTCATGTACTGTAAGTACTACACAAAAAAACTGGTCAATCCTCCATCATCAACATTTCAATTGCACCTAATGCATTGGGGTTGTAGGTCAACTACAGAATAGTAATCATTTGGGCAGGTTGGAATTCAGTGTCTGCACCAAGAACACTTGGGTTGATTTCTAACATGGTAGAAATTAAGTATGGCTTACTTGTTACTTTTCCACCTGGCTATCACTTAGTTGCAGCATGATACAATCAAAAGTTTAAAATCTTTCTAGTAGCCTTCCTTTACAACTGTGAATTAAACACCCATCAAGACATCAGGTGATTATCTGGTTTTCCATACTCATCATCATCATCATCATCATCATCACTGCCGATAGATGAAAAAGTAAATAAGATTGTCAAAAAACATAAATAATGGATACCAGCACGTAAGCAACACATAACAACATAGACAAGATACAAACCTATCTTATTATGAATTCCTGTCAGGTATAGAACTATGGTTGTTTTGTATGGCTAAAAACACACCAACAAGTTATAATAGAATGTAAAAGTTAAAGGTACACCTATCCAGAATCTCCCATTACAATCACTGATATAGGCAGTCAATTTTATCCAAAAGGATTTGCACTCTTAAATTGAGACTTTTTAGAAGTGTCAGATCCATGATCCCAAGGTAAATACCCCCTTAATTTAAACTGGAAATATCTCATATTCCACTTTTGACAAGTACTGTATATGTTGATACTTGGTTTTTCCAGGGCAAGCATTTACTGTGTCAAATAAACATGATACAATGTTTGTTTTGAAGTGTGGTAAAAGTAACATGCAGTTGTAATAATGACTTATGCACAGTACTTTAGTAAATATACTTAGTTACTTACACACCACTGGGCCCTGTATAGAGGCAGAGATAGACTATAGATGATAGATGAGGATCGTAAAGTATACATTTCTCCTCACGTAATGGCCCGTGGTTGCCTGCGTTGGAGCCAAAGTTTTACAAAAATCGTGTCTGAATACGGGTGTGTTGAAAATAGTCTCCATGTGGGACAACTGACAGGGATGGTCCTCTCTTCCCTGGGAGGGAAAGTGAGGCGGCGGTTAGGTAAGGGGCCTTGGGGAACAGAAGAGAGGGGAAGCCGGGTGATAGAAACCGCCGTGAATCGCCATCTGAGGGGACAGCCAAACGGTCTGCGGTCGGCACATCGGGTGGGACAGACAGGAACACAGATGGAGAGCTGCCTCTGGTCAACTCCACAAGCCACACCCCAAGATGATCTGTTGCACTTAAAGAAAGTTTAAGCAGTTTTTTTAGCAGGCACATCTGTTTGCATTTATTTGTATGCATATATCGTCTTTATTGTATAAATTTGTCCAGAGAGAACCTGAAACACTTGAATGGAGTGGTGTGTGGAATCATGGAATACTGCTTGTGAGGCACACTGGAGGACAAAATAGGGAGCGAAGCCCTCAACAACATGACCAAGATGGACATTTAGACAAGGAAGCAGAAATAGAATTATTATGTGTAAAACACACCCTGCTTGTGGTGGCCTGAGCTGCAGTACACTGGGTTAAAATGGGTGCAAAGGAAATAGTGGCTTTGAAAATGAGCATGACTGCAGATGTGGGTGACTAAAAACACCCTGGAGAAGATTGCAGCTAATTCTCCTACTGTTAAAATATTCTGTGTGTTTGCGGTTTGGTAGAAGGAATCCCAACCCATCCATGGATAACCATCAGTTAGGTATGTGTTGTAGTTGATACACTGCTCAAAAAAAAAGGAACACTTTGAAAACACATCAGATCTCAATGGGAAAATCAGATCTCAATGGGAAAATTATGATGTTGGGTATCTATCCTGATATGGACAGTTTAATGCCTTACGAACAAAAGGATGTCCCATCTTTTGATGGAAATAAAGGTTTCAGCCTAGAGAGAGCTCAATTTTATAGACACTCCAGAAATCCAAGTGAATAAAATGTGGCGGCAGCTAGTCCATTTACCAAAATTCAATTTCTGCAATTCAAAATGCTTCTCAATATCTTGTGTGGCCCCCACGTGCTTGTATGCATGCCTGACAACATTGCGGCATGCGCCTAATGAGACAACGGATGGCGTCTTGTGTGATGTCCTCCCAGATCTGTCTAAGCTCATCAGTGAGCTCCTGTAAAGTTTGACGAGCCCAGAGGTGTTCTATCGGGTTTAGGTCAGGTGATCGTGGGGTCTGATGATGGGTTCGAGGATCTCACTCCGATACCCAGACCATCACTGACCCACCACCAAAGCATTCGTGAACAATGATTTTTGGAGCAGTGTATTAAAACTACAAAAGTTTGTTGCAAACGTGAGCAGCAGTGCACCCTAAATCTTGAGTTATCTGGGGGCTGTGCCTTGATTAAGTAGGTAATTCTCTAGAAAACATTTTGCAGGGTAGTGGGCATATCTCAATTTATCTTGAAAAATGTCTTGATCAAGATCACTGGGTCTACAGTGGTGCATGGAGTAGATGGTGTGCTGGGAACCCCAAGATTAGTGCATATTGCATTGACGAACCGCAGGGTTAGTGGTTCGAGTCCCAGCTCGTGTCCAAGAAAGACACGTAACCCCTAGTTGCTCCCTGGGCAAAAATGGCCTGTGGGTTAAAAATGTAATGAAAGTCTCTTTGGATAAAAGTGTCAGTTAAATGGCCTGTAATCATTTTTCACATGTGCTGACAAGGTTGAATTGACCTCAATTTTGTTCAATTCAATCCCTGCATTTGATTGTAGGGCATCTTATGTGAATATGAAACTACTCCTGGGAAGAAAAATAAAAAGTTTCCCCCGTAGAGAGTATTTCATCTTTATGAGACTACAATTACAGAACATCAATTTAATTTCAAATGTTCTAGTATAATTTTTTTTCCGACAATGCGCACCACAAGAGGTGCCATAGAAAGAATGACCATCGCTACTTCTAGGAGCGGATCTCAGTCACACTACACAATCTTGTACAGATTGTCAGTTGGGAGACTAAAGGAGGGATGTTTGCTGCTGAACAAAAGGGTTCAGAGTTAGTTTCCTTTATTCTTAATCATTGCATACAAGAAATTAAACACAACACCTAAACAGTTTGTAGGCAATGTGACATTTTAACTAGTAAAAATAATAAGTAAAGACCATGTATGTGCCCTCTGAACTAGATTAAGTGGCATAATCAAAGCTGGATTCAAAATTTGCTTAAAACATCTCCCAATTTTATTCAATCTTACAAATGGTGAAAAACAAGAAAAACTTCATTTACAATGGGTAATCTGTTAAAAACTTCAGTCATTTAGGTACATCTCAGTCATAAAACCAGTAATATCAAAGTCTATACAACGTGCATTACTACAGAGTTTTGAAATGGTGGCATCTAATGGTAAGTGATGAGCACCTACTGTTTTGACAGTTAACTAAATCTACTTCATTCGGGAATGGTTGTGTCCACAGGAGCGTCGAGTTTAAGCGTTGTAAACAACTGTGCACTGCAAAGACAACATTTACGACTTGGTTTAGGTCTTTCCCTTTAAATATCACAATGTGTCGAATCTTGCAGACACAGCTTTAGCTGCTACATCCAAATGCCCAGCACCAAATACTTACTGATAAAATACGTCAAATTCAGCAACGTGTCAACACAGTCATGGTTTCATGTAGGAAAAAAAAAAAAAAAGAATTAACAGCCCCACTCAGTCATACTTTCACTCAGCCAATGTCACACATGCAAGCATCAACGGGCAGTGAGGGAGCAGCACACTCTCCAGTACACCTCCTGCCCATCACTGCCATGGATCTTGCAGTCATTATGGATGAGATGGTTGCAGAATAGTAAACAAACACCAACAAAAAAAAAATCATAACAATCAAAAGAAATCCCTGGTTTTAGACAAGTCCTTGCATTCCTTCAGACGGGCTCCTCCTTCATTCCGGTGTCTGGTTCAGCAGGGTTACTCAGCGGTGGCCTCTGGAGCGGCTGCCGTCTCTGGTTCAGCGGGTGAGGCGTCGGCTGGTTTCTCCTCTTCGGCCGCCGCTGCTGCTGCTGGTTCCTCCGCCTTCGCCTCCTCCTCGGCCTTTGGCTTTTCAGCTTCAGCCTCCTTGGCTCCCTCCTCAGCAACCTCATCTGGTTTGGCCTCCTCAGTGGCTGCGTTCTCTGCCGCCGCTTTCTCTCCTCCTGCTGCTGCGCCTTCCTCTGCTGCCTCATCAGACTCTTTCTTGGCCTTCTTCAATGAGAAGCCGCTTAGCTTAAAGGAGGGTTTCTTGAAGGAGAAACGCTTCTTCTTTTGCTTTCCTTCCTCGCTGGTGGATGGAGTGCCTTCCTCAGGCTTGGCAGAGGCCTCTCCGTTTGTAGCCGCAGGCTCCTTCTCACCGTTGGCCTCAGCGGCCTCTACTTTCTCGCCTTCGGCTTTTGGCGCCTCCTCTGTAGGAGTGCTGCCGTTGGCCGGTACATCATCTTTGTTGGCCTCCTCTGCAGATGGAGAGGCATCCCCGTTGGTCTTGGCATGGCCATTCTCCTGAAGGAAACAGAAAATAATGTTAAAATGTAAATAGCGGTGTTGAAGTTGAAAACCGTTGTGCACTCTTGATTGTGTAGTCATGCATCGCGGGCAACGCATGAAGGTGTGTGCATGGCGACTCCCTGCAAAATCCGGCGTGCTTCGGAATTTAATCAAACGCATCGACTAGCACTAACCAATGGGAAAATAGCCCTACAACTGCAGCAACATCTGTTACTAGGAGAGTGACGACAGATCTGTGGCTTTCAGCAGTAGGCTGGTCGCTTAGGCTGCAGTTCTGCCGGGAACCGCTAGGTGGCATTCGGTGAGGAGCCAGAGGATATAACATAGGAATTTGGATATTTTTCCCCCTTATTTTAATGGCCCATATAGTAAACTAATTGGTGTTGATTCAACTGGTATACAAATCCTCGTATCCTCATCTATATTTTTAAGTAAATTGTGCATTTTGTCGGCGGTGTGCGAACCACAACGTGGCTGCATTCGTGAATCTGGCAACAAAGGCGTGGTAGTCTTAAAATGGCCATGCCAGTCAGCGCACCCACAAACCCCATTTCCACCAAATGAATTAAAAAACCCGCCATGTTTCGGTAATCAGCTTACCGCCGCAGGAACATATTCATAAAATGTATTTCAAAAGCAACTTAATTTATTCGACGGGTTAGTTAGTAGTGTAGTGCGCTATTCATCTTGAAATTAAATTAAAGGCTATGCCTGTATTCATTTAAGGAATGTCACAAGAAAATGCGCTGAATTTGAAACAATGCTGCTACTTCAAAAGGGCGACTTTAAATTAAGAACACAATTGTTGCGGATAACGTTACATGTGGCCACTTTCCCTGTAGGCTGCCGGCGAACGTGCGGGTGCGCTACATGGAACATGGAGCACGCCATCGAGCCAACGCGCTGCTCAAAGCCAGACCAATTCCCCTCCAGCAATTAAGAATCAAACCATCAAACGTAAAACGTACCTGTCCGTTTGCCTTCGCTGCAACGGCGGCGCCTTCTGTTGGCTTTTCTACGGCGGCTTCCTCTTTTCCAGCGGCTTTGGAGGTTTGTGCTCCCATGCTTTTTGGTGCAACAAAGGAACCCAACCGATCAAAATGAATGAACAAAGACCGCAAAGCTTCCTCCCCCCACCAAAAAAAGGCAAGTCAAGCACCGGCACCTACTTCTCCAAACGAAGCCGAGGAATCAGCCCGAGAGACGAGATGACCGCAAATGGAGGTGTGATAACTTGCAAAAATGTGGCAAAAGGCGGACGGGGAAACGAATTCTTTCGATTTTTTTTCTCGAGCGGAGTTTGTAAATGGAGAAATTGGCCCTGCCGCAAATGAGATGCGGAGTACAACGCCCAAGTCCGCTGATGAATGGGCACTGGGGCTATGACGACAAAGCCACCCCGTCTCCGCCAATCACAAGTCCGGAATCTAACGAGTGGGAGTGGGGGCGGGGGGGTCACGGAGCGGGGGTCATGGGGGAGGAGGGGGGTGGGGGGGCATGGACAATGGGAGAGACACAACAACATGGCCAACAACTTGTCTTTATCTCCATTTTAGAGTGCAGAAAAAACTTAATTTTATTTCCCACAAATAACGACTCAGATTCTTGTCTAGCAGACAACGCAAGGATTTATTTGATAATCCAACAGGAAAATAAACCGTACGTTTTTTTAAAACTACAAAAATGGCCAACATTTGATTTGACATAGACCACCTTCACTTCATCATCAGACATATTCACCCTCTCCCTGGTTAATATGTTGGCCAGTCTACATTAAGCATAATCTAGATATAATATATGTCGTCTAATTCTACGTACTATAATGTACGGTATAATTTTGCAATTGTACAGTCTACATTATTTACTATGTTAGATTAAATTAAACAGATCTCTCAATATACAAAGCTGCAACAAGACAGCTGAATTTATTTATCACAAATGTTAAATTGATAGGCCAAAACAACAACATGTTTTGAGCTAAACCGAGAAGGTACCGCTCAGCTGGTCTTGTGTTGAATCACCACACGCTCCTGACATATGCCTCGCTCAGTGCACCGGCGTCCCCCTGGAACTATAAGCCCCTGTGCCCACAGCCTCCCTCTTCTTGCATAATAGCATCTTGTCTGCTTGTTGCAGCTGGAGCATCCCAGTGACCCAGATATAATGAGGGTTTATGGCCCTCAGCTCCAGCAGCCTGCAGTGTTCCGACTCCGCCACCAGCCACAAGTCTACCCTCTCTGCCGTCACTGCATGACCCACATCTCCATGGTTACCGTTCCAAAATGGCTCCAAGGGAGAGGCAGTGCAGCGAGGGCTTTTTAGATCACGACTCCTGGTTGCAGAGAAGTAGGGTGAGAGGCAGTTCACGAGTGAGAAGTGCAGACAACAGTTTGAGGATTAGGGCGATGTCTTTCACCCACCCTCTCTTCCTCGGGCTAAGTGGGCCACGCTCATTGTTGTGATATTCTGATTACATGCAAAGCTGTAATTGTTATGGTGAGCTGCCATGAATATGTAAACCAGAGGACAAAGCAGGGCATGGAATATTTTCAACAAGCACCATGCAGTCCAGACGTTTAGACATAAAGACTTCACCTGTCAGGATGATACTGAGTCATGTCGGGATCCCATATGGAAGGAGCAGTGTGTCAGCAAGCAGACTTCTGAAGAGTCACAAATCAACACAAGATCTTAAACATGCTGAAGGTTTAGACTTCTCTCTGCATGCCATGTCAAATGGAACACTTTGCTGCTCCCATCTTTCTTTAAACGCACACACATCTGAAGGAGTAGTTACATGCATTTGGCATCCACAAAGAAAAATGTTGTTTTTTCAATTCAGCAATCAGCACTCACACATTGTCTCTTTTATCATGAGCCACTAGCAAATAGATAGATAGATGTTCATTCTTGTCTAATTGTAAACTGGTCCATTGGTCCATTTTCAGTTTTACAAATTAAACATATTTAGGTAATCGACAATGGCCAAACAACACAAAACATTTCCCCTCATACTCGGGGAGAATGTGATGGAAAATTATCAAAATGTTCTAATATTGTTAACCCCCCCTCCCCGACCAACACAAAAACTGCAAGTAACAGAGTGGCTGTCTTTTGTGGCAGAAACAGCAGGGGTGGTAGTTTGATTCATTCTAAATGGATTCATTTTCAGTAAACCAAATGAACCTGCATGTTTGGTTTGTTTGAGCTCCGGCCAGTGTTTGAACAACTACTAAAACTGATGATGCAAATTAACTGTAAATCTTGTGAAATATTCAAAAAAGTAACATGTTTTATAGGTGGGGAATTGTCAGTAGCTGTTGGGTTGACTGTTTTGTAAGAATAGCTCTTCTGGAAGCTTCCACTGAGACGTTTATCCCCTAAATACCACGTAAAATAAAGACCAAGTGACTTTTTATTTTATCTGATTGATTATTAACGTATTTTACTCTATTCTTGGTCACTCTATTCCAGCTAAAGATGCCCGATCATGCAGAGAGGTAAGTCACCTGCTTTCGGTTTGGTTGGATTAAAAAAGAACACATACTTGTTGGATTTCTTTTGGCTGTAATTAAACACAGAAGTCCATTAAAGTGTTTCTCTCTGCGTGACAATCTGCGTGCACTCTGTTTCTTATTTAATCAAGCATTTTATTAGTGTGAAGACAGCTCTACTCACTTGAACTAAAATGGACAATGTGGCAATCGTGCCATGTTTTTCAGTCTGCCCCAAAACGGGGAGGAGTCCTCCTACCCGTTCTCCCCTGTTATTGGAGGAACGCGGTGCCAATCAGCCACCTCAGCTGCGCCGTGACGTCAACACATACACCGGAAAATAAAGCCGTTGTAAAAGGTCGAAATAAAAGCACAAAAGTGAAATCCTTCCAAAATAATCAATTGAGCGTGCTTAACACGATTCCAATAGGGTCCTGGACGTGGAAGTAACACCTTATGCGTTCTGTTTTCTAATAGTTTGACGAAAAAAATGACTCTTTACGCTTGTTTTCACCTGAAAATCACGCGAGACGCGCAGCTTTATTTTGACAGGGCCAACCGGAAAGCCACGTACTATTGCTGTGAACTTGGCTCTGATCGCGATCGTCATCATCTGTACGCACGGCGGCGACAGCAGCTCCCGAATCGGCAGGGACGGAAATCCCGCCGCTATTCTCTCTTCATGCGACGGGAAAACTGTCACAGGGAGCAGAAAAATATCCGCGATTCGCCACACCAAAGTCCCTCTGGAAACTCCGATGGATTAATCTGATTTTTTTGTTTTCTGCGGTAAGTACCCTCCCTGTGTTGAATTTCAATTGGTGCAAACCGCCTCGTCCCCTTATCCTGCGCCGTGGGCTGCAAGATGAATTCCTCTCCGCTGTAGAGGGAGCGCAGGGGATGAATATCACGGAGTTGGTCGCTGCAACCAGAGCCAGCATCCCGGCCGGGCATCCTGCAGGCGATAGGTGCGTGTATTTGACGGGTAACTTTGCCCTCCGTGGGGGTAAAATCACGAGAGAGAGAGAGGGGAAGTAGCGGTGGCCCCGGTATTGTGGGTGATGTTTTGCAGTGCTGTGATTGTGGAGAGGGGCTCTGTGTTGCAGCAGTAACAGGGATGGATGCGCCGCATAGAAGAGCTGACCACTGAGGCCGTACTCTCTCTCTCTCACACACACACACACACACACACAGACCCGATCGACGGCACAAAGGCCCGCGGACATTTCACCCCAAATAATTGTCGTGTGATTTCAGCTTAATTGCATTGCCCGCGCTGTTAAATATCCAATTAAAACTGTCCTAATTGGGTTATCGCGTGTGTCTGGAGGGGCAGCCATCCATCTTGCTGGCAGACACCCGGAGGATGATACACGCACTGTGTGTGTGTGTGTGTGTGTGTAGCTCGCAGCCGAAGCCTCAGTGTGATCCATGTGGAATGACTTGGGCAGTAGTCGTGTGTTGGTTTGCACCAGCAGTTTTGGGTGTGCATCATGTCGCTGCTCAACGAGTGGCTACACAACTGGCCTGCGTGATGTGTATGAATTGTTGTATGACAGGAGCATATTAAGGCTGATGGACCATGTTCTCTCTCTCTCCATATTTAACTCCCTTATAAAACCCACTGTCACATAAGCTACTCATGACGTTAGAATTTTCGGTTCAACCATTGCCATCGCAGAGGTGAACTATTTAGGTCAGAAGAGGACCAACTCAGTGGTTAAAGGTGCTCATTTACACATTGTTTTGTCGTTTTTCAGCCACACGGCCTCTGAAAACCTGCAACTAATGATTATTTGAATCAAGAGCTGCAACAGTTAGTGGATTCATTTGATTGACAGCTTGAATGTAGTTTTAGCTGCACATGATGGTAATATGAATATCTTGTTTGGACTGTGGATAAGACAAAATAAATACTTTCAGGATAGCACATGGTTGTGATTGGCCTTCTTCCTGTATTGATCTAATAAACATTTGGTTAAAAGTGTCCCAGATTCCAATCGATTGTTTAGTGCAGCCTGCGTTCCAAAATACAGATTTATTCCATTAAAAGTGCTCAAACAGAGAACAGACCGATCTGACAACATGTTATTGTTATTATTCAGAAAACTTAATTCTGAGAATAGTAGAAAGTTTGCTTTTTGTTTGTCTACTTATTGATTTAATCAATTGGTTGCAGCTCTCTTCTGGTTGTTGCTGCAGTTTTTTTTTAAACATATATTCAGTTTACCAGAAAACCTCCACTGCTGTAGACCCACCACATGATTAGCAGCAGATTCTTACACTGACCATTTGCCTTATACTGGCACAACATCTGGAAAGTACCACTTCAGATTGATAAAGCGGAAGCAGCAAGAATCTTCATCTGTTTGTTAGAAAAACAATCGAATATCCCCTTTTTCCCGTTTGGATAATATTAATATACAAGGCACAAATCTCACTGACTGAATGGGCATTTACAATGAGCTCAGTGATTTAAAAACATGACTCAACATACTTCACTGTGAACATTGTGACACCAAAACACAGTCGAGGCTTTAAGCCCACACGTACTGCATGAAAGTCAGCTGTGGGTTCTGTAACCATCTCTGTTCATTCAGTACGAGAAGAATGCTTTGGAAGCCTCAACACTGCGTCTCATTGTGCTGATAATCTTGTAGCAGAGTGACATGTGGTCATTTTCTTGTTGTTGATACACTCAATGAACTCAGTTGTCCAACACAAGCAAATATTGTAACTATTCAGAGAATGGCAGCCATTAGGAGAGATCGTCACAGTTGTACCAAATCCAGCAAACAGAGGATTGAGTTTCATAAGTATTCAAATGGAAAATGATCCGGCTTGACGTCTTTTCTCTGTTGACCGAACAGC